TAATTGTGAAAAATGCTATTTATGAACTCATGCAGTAATCTGAAGCAATAATTTAAAAGAATTTTACCACAAATTATTGAATTATCTGAAGCTCTTAAGTACCAATCCAAATATAGTTTATGCAATTTTTATTTCACAAAATTATAATAAATTTAAAACTAGGGGAATCATCTGCCATCTAAAAGATGACAATGTCTCTAACTTAATGTAATCAACCTATGGTGATATCTGGAATGAAAAGGTATGTGAAAGGCTCAGAAGAACTCATGTACTGAACCAAATGCAGCTATTTCAAAAAGTCCACACAGATTACAATCACTAACACACTTAGCAGAGAACTCTTGCTGTTTTTCAATACCTCGATTTTCTTTCTAGTCCATGATAAAAAAAAATGTCTACCAGAAATTAGATAAGAGATATGATTGTATCTCACATGTGTAGGGCTATAGAAAAAAAGTGAAGCAGGCTCCTTGCTGTGTCTGCTTAAAATGTTAGAGAACTTGTGGCAGTAGAGCAGTGTCAAGCAAATAGTAGTCTGGCTTACTGGAGCCTTTTCAAATGTGCATCCTTTATCAAGCACTCACCAAAATGGAAACTGTGTACATTAAACTGTAGGTCCCAAATTAACCAAAGAATTTCAGCTCAAAATTACATCTGGGAAAATAAAATTCTGCAACCTAAATGCTGGCATCTATTTTTAAAGATTATGCCAACAGAAGTTGATTTATTTACATGTCAGGATATAGTAAAAAAAGAGACAGATACCAGTTCTCAGTTACAATGAGAATGCTGGCAAAGTCTCTGGAAAGTCCTGAGCATGTTTGTATTCAATTAAAAATTTGGTTAGTATAAATTAAGATAATCTTAATTCAAATAATAGTTTGGGTGGAGGGGATCCAGCAACTTACATTTTCCCACTTCTCCTTTTTTGTACAGCATTCCTCTCAATTTCCTGTTTAGCATTTTTTCTCAGCAAAGCAAAACAGTTGTGCATGCACAGTCATTCAAAGATAACTGGGAACAGCTTCCAAAGCAGCCACTCCTGAGCACTGTGAAGAACCTTCTTCAAGGGATTTGTACAACATTAAAACCAAGGAAGTTTCATATTCAGAGTACATACACTGACCATGTTTTGGCAAATCAGGCATAATAGCAACCTAGGGATAAAACTAAACAGGAAATAGAAATCTCATTCAAAATCAAAGAAAGAAGCATGCAAACCTACAGCTTGTGTCTTTGCATCCAGAAGGGTGCAGAGATGAGCAACTTTTGGGGGGCTGAGGGCCAACTGGTCTTCTAAGTGTTGCATCAGGAACAACACTCCAACATGTGAGGAGAATGAGGATAAAGAGCTGGGTGGGTCCAAACGTGATTTTAATTTTAAATGCAATACACAGTTAAAATGATTACTTCTCACTATTTAATACATTTCCCAAATTGGAACATTAAAATTACAATTCTGTGGCAACTTTTGCAGAGGAATGCCCCCATTTTTGGGAGGCTATATATAGCCCTAAGACCTCAATATGTACACCTCTGATTTGGAGGCTCATATAATTTCAGCTTTAGGAATCAATCTTATTCATGTCTCTGTACTCAAAAATATGTCCAACAGAGTTAACCAAAGCATCCATAGGAACTTAGCTTTAATGTAATTAAACAGAAATCAAGAAATATAATGCTTCTGTTTTGCTTTCTAAATTAACATGGGATTGTGTAATTCAAAAAGATGTGACAATAATTTTGCATTTTGCTCCAAGACAGAGTAAAAAAAAAACTTTTCTGAAACATGTAATGGCTAATCACTACTGTAGTGGGACATCAAAATAACATGGATATATTTATGTAGTCACCAGGAGAAGTTCAAATCAAGGGAGATTTTAGCTTACTCCAGGACTGTAAGCTAAACTTTAACACTGAAAAATACATCTCAGAGAAATGTAATTGCAAACTACTTCTGTACTGCTGCCAAGAAAACTATATGGTTAAACTGTGTAGTCACCAGGAGAAGTTCAAATCAAGGGAGATTTTAGCTTACTCCAGGACTGTAAGC